CTGAAAATTTTCCAAGTATACTACAACATCGCCTGAAAGTAACATAAAAAATGTAAATTTTTGAAATTCCACTTAGAACTGGAGATATTGCATCAGAATCGGAGGTACCGATTCTTTATGCACATATTTTATAGATTAGATTATATTTTATATGCACATATCTATTGATCGATTACACATACAGTTTCCAAATTCGGAATGCGTAACGAAAATGGCAACATAAAAAAATTTGCCAAATTATATTGAAATCGGTTCAGATTTGGTGGTAGCTCCCATATATATTTTCTACTGATTTCGCTTATTAGAGGCACAAAACACGAGATGTATGTTCGATTCCAACGAAGTTCGGCACGAGTGACTAAATTTGGTACAAAAATAAATTTGCCAAATTATATTGAAATCGGTTCAGATTTAGATATAACGCCTACATATATTTTTGACTGTTTTTTTATATCCTCCACCATACATAGTATGGAGGTTATACTAAGTTCGTAATTCCGTTTGTAACTCATCGAAATAATAATTTTAGAACTCACAAAGTCTATATATTTCTGTTTATCGTAAAATTCCTAGACGGTTTACCTCTTTCCGTCCGTCCGTTTGTGCGCCTGTTGTAATCACACTAGAGTCGAATTAAGATAGGAAGCTAAAATTTTGCACAGATCAGTCTTTTGTCTGCAGGCAGGTCAAGTTCGAAGATAAGTTATATCGGTACACCATATCGTTTAGCCCCGATAGTTTTAATTAATTTAGCCACATTTTTCAATGAAATTGTCTGAAATTCTACACAGGGAGTTCCTTTTCCTTCCTTTATTTGAGTGACATTTTTTCTTGACATTTTTCAAGTTCCTTTAAAATTGTGTAGGGTATATACAGGGTGAGATAAAAACTGTAACAAAATCAAACGCCATAATTTTTTTTTTTAAATTTTATTGAATGAAAGCAAAAAGTTTCGGAAATAACATCAAATTTTTGATTTTATTCTGATCCCACGGTCGATTAATACGAGAAAGAGAGAGAGCGGTCCACACGAAGTCCCATAAAATGTGATGTAAGAGTCCGATTGTCCTCAAATTTCACACATCCCAATGACTGGTGCTAAGATGGAATATATTGGTCCACTCCTTCTGGTACCTCCGCCACACAAGACCGAAATTTTCAAAAAAAAAAAAAAAACTGCACGGAAAGAGAAGCAACACTCCGGTTTTGCTCCAACTCAGTTCTAGGTCAGGTGCACAAATGGATAATATCACCCACTCCATCAAGTGCCTTCCCCACAAAAGGTAAACATTTTTAATAATTATAAGTCTCATAAAATGTGATGTAAAAAACAGATTGTCTTAAAATTTTTACAATATTTTTACAAAGATCTGGTGTTAAGATGGTACCTTCCCCACAAAAAATCGAAATTTTGAATATCCATGAAGTTCATAAAAAGCGATATTAAAAATGGTACATCCCCCACAAAGGCTCAAAATTTTGAATATCAATGAAGCTCATAAAAAGCGAAATTGACATCCGATTCCATTCAAGTCTTGGTACATCCTAATATTTCCATCAACACAACACAGTCCAAACCGAGCACGTCGTAATATTTATATCATATTTATTTAAGTCCGATACAAAATGGCCAATATTGACCCATTCCTTCGGAACCTACTGCATAAGAGATTAAACATTTGAATAATCAAACAGAAGTCAAAATATTTTTAAATAATCGAACATTGGCTGAGGGTATACATCTGTCGTCAAAACCGACCAATACTTTTTTACTTGTTTTTTGAGCAGCTTCATAATGAGCTAATTATAGTGTAATCAAAAAATTGTGAAGATTGGTCAACATTTAAGCAAAGTCCCCATATAGCGATACCCTAACAATTTGATATAGCTCCCGTAGAACCCTACACCTGATTCTTTAACGTGTGTTTTCAATAGATTTTGTGGAAATTTAACAAATCGATGTATCGAAAAAATGTCAACATTGAACATCTTTTGATATAGCTCCCATTAATATACCCTCTATCTACAGGAACACCAAAATTGTTAGATTTGTATTTTTATCAGGAAGGCTTGTTTTGAATCATTAATTGATCAAAAACAGTATTTACATTTACCGTCATAAACTGGACATCTGCCTATATCTGTCCACAAACCCGACAGATACGTTTGTTGTTTTCATTTATTAGCTATCTGGTCACCCCATTCGTTGACATGAAAATTCCCACCTGGCTGAGTGAACTTTTGTCAGTGTTTTCAGATGGCTATTGTTTTTCATTTTCGTTACAATGTCTAACAGTTTGTGACAATTTTCCGGTATTTGCATTTGAAATCACACACACACACACCCACACACACGCTGACGAACGAATTCGCCCGTTGTCTGTCTCGCCATCACCGTGTCATAATGCCGACAGATGTGTGTGAGTCCAATGGGTATTTGTTATTTTACGGTTTTCACTTGGTTTTTGTCCAGGCCCGTTGGAGGTTTATTTTTAGTAGCTTCAAAATGAAATTGGAAATAAAGTTTGAAAATGTCGAAAAAAAATCTACAATAACAACAGCATTTACAGCAATGGAAATAGCAACAGCAACAACAAATCAAACAAACGAAATAAAACGAAACGTAATTAAAGTTAATTGTCATCATTAATGTTTAGTTTATGCGATTGTTGTAAACGAACGAAACAAAAAAAAATAATGATGACAACGCACGAATGCGAATGGCGATGATGATGACGATGATAATGATAAAGTGATTCCCGAAAATAATTCATTAGAGATTTTTTTGTGTACCCTACTGTAAATGGGTTATTTTTAAATTTTTTACAATTATTTGTGGCTTTATTAATTTAATACTCTTAAAATCAATAATATAAAAAGTATCAGTTATCTACTGCCATAACTAAAAATACTTATTTCAAAAAAAAAAAAAAAAAAAAAAAAACAGTAAGGAAAGTCCTAAGTCGGGCGGGGCTGACTTTATAATACCCTACACCACTTTGCTAATTTAGTAGAGCTCCACATAACAATTAAAAGTTTTTATGGGAGAATTCAATCATGTACTACAAAGGAATAAATATGCCGAAGCATTTGTATCTTTTAAATTCGGACTTGTGTTGCCCATCAGGTGTACAAGTAACTTGAAATCGGATAAAGATATATATGGGAGCTATATCCAAATCGGAACCGATCTCGATAAAATTTGGTAAAGATATTTCTGAGCTGTATTTGATATATTTCCCTGAATATCGTTGTTACGGAGTGCATATTACGGCTATGGGTAACAAATACAACAAATCGGATGGACAATATATATGGGAGCTATAGCTATATCTGAACCGATCTTCACCAAATTTAGCATACTAGACTCAATTCGGTCGTATATGCCAAATTCCATTCCATTTGGACAAATATTAGACGTTTGGTGCACAATAAAAGGTAAATCGGACGAAGTTATATATGGGAGCTATATTCAAATCTTAACCGATCTCGATAAAATTTAGCAAAGGTATTTCTGGGCTGCATTTGTTATATTTCCCCAAATATTCTTGTTACAGAGTGCATATTACGGCTGCAGAAGACAAAAATAATAAATCGGATGAACAATATATATGGGAGCTATAGCTATATCTGAACTGATTTCGATTAAATTTGGCACACTTATTTTCAGACCTAATTTGAGTGTATGTGCAAAATTCTATACTATTTGGGCTGATATTATACGTTTGGTGGACAATAAAAAGCAAATCGAACGAAGATATATATGGGAGCTATATCTAAATTTTGACCGATTATCTCCAATTTCCAATAGGGTTCGTCCTTGGGCCAAACAAATGATTTGTGCAAAATTTCATCTTCATCGGATAATAAATGCGAGCTGCATTTTGTTCTATGGAGAATCTCAAAAGTAACTATGGGTCTATCTCGCTTCCTTCACCATGTTACAAACAAATGCCCAAAGACATAATACCCTTACCACTATGTGGTGTTAAAAATACCGAATATAGCCGTTATATTGGGATCTATATGAAGCCGTGAACCTGCATAGGCAATTTTTGTCATAGACTGTAGTTCCCATTACGAACTCTAAATGCGAAATTTGAAACAACTCCGGTGAGTGATGCCAGTAAAATTATCAAAATACCGAATACTGGGAGGTACTGTTATATGGAGGCTATATGAAGACGTGGGCCTGCATACGCAATTTTTTATCATAGGTTGTAGTACCTATTACGAACTCTAAATACGAAATTTGTGACAACTCCGGTGAATAATAACACCCCTGAAGTCATCAAAACATCGAATATCGGGGGGTACCGTTGTATGTGGGCTGTACGATATCGTGGACCTATATAGATAACTCTCTTTCAGGGGGTAAAGTGTTTAGAAAGGATTTCTAGTACAGATTTTTAGACATTGCCATTGAAAAATGTAGCTAAAATCATCAAAATGCCGAATATAGGGAGGTACCGTTATATAGGGAACATATGATGTCATGGACCTATATAGACAATACGCTTCCAGGGGGTAAAGTACTCAAAACTAACTCCTTTTGTGGATTTTCAGACAATTTCATTGAAAAATTTGGCTACAATCATCAAAATACCGAATATCGGGGGGTACCGTTATATGGGCTCTATACGATATCGTGGATAGATATAGCCCATCTTCGAACTTGACCTGCCTACATACAATATGACTGATCTGTGCAAAATTTTAACTTCCTATCTTTATTCGTTTTGACTTTAGCTTGATTACACAGACGTACTAAATCGTCTTAGAATTTTACGCTGATCCAGAATATATATACTTTGCTGGGTCTAAAATTTTTATTTCGATGAGTTACAAACGGAATGACGACCATAATATACCCTCCATACTATGTATGGTGTGACGACGTGTTTTCACTTTGAAGCTGGGGTAGGTTCAGCGGGGGCCAGAGTCGTCACAAAAATTTATTTGTTAGGACATAAAGAGAGAGAGAGAGCGAAGCAAAAATATTTTCTTAAAACGTTATAAATTTATTTCCTTAAATAACACTAAACACTACACTAAACACAATAAAATCACGTTCAGAACGTTTTACGAAGAACACTAAATCACAAAGTTCAGTCGAAATGTTAATAAACGGGTAGCAGTGGTGGCAGCTTGGCACAGCGGCGGCCCGATGAATAGGCGAGCGACGAATAGAGTGGCGGCAGCTTGGCACAGCGGCGGCCCGATGAATAGGCGAGCGACGAATAGGGTGGCGGCGGCTTTGGCACAGCGGCGGCCCGATGAATAGGCGAGCGACGAATAGTAGTGGCGGCAGCTTGGCACAGCGGCGGCCCGATGAATAGGCGAGCGACGAATAGGGTGGCGGCGGCTTTGGCACAGCGGCGGCCCGATGAATACGTCAGCGGCGAGTAGGGTGGCGGCGGCTTTGGCACAGCGGCGGCCCGATGGATAGGCGAGCGGCGAATAGGGTGGCGGCGGCTTTGGCACAGCGGCGGCCCGATGAATACGTCAGCGGCGAGTAGGGTGGCGGCGGCTTTGGCACAGCGGCGGCCCGATGGATAGGCGAGCGGCGAATAGGGTGGCGGCGGCTTTGGCACAGCGGCGGCCCGATGAATACGTCAGCGGCGAGTAGGGTGGCGGCGGCTTTGGCACAGCGGCGGCCCGATGAATACGTCAGCGGCGAGTAGTAGTGGCGGCAGCTTGGCACAGCGGCGGCCTGATGAATACGCGCACGACGAATCGGGTGGCGGCAGCTTTGGCACAGCAGCAGCCCGATGAGTACGTCAGTCGCCGTCAACGCAGCCCGAAGAATAGGGAGTATTGCTACAACCCTCACTTGACCCTGCGTTCAGTCGCCGTCAACGCAGCCCGAAGAATAGGGAGTATTGCTACAACCCTCACTTGACCCTGCGTTCAGTCGCCGTCAACGCAGCCCGAAGAATAGGGAGTATTGCTACAACCCTCACTTGACCCTGCGTTCAGTCGCCGTCAACGCAGCCCGAAGAATAGGGAGTATTGCTACAACCCTCACTTGACCCTGCGTTCAGTCGCCGTCAACGCAGCCCGAAGAATAGGGAGTATTGCTACAACCCTCACTTGACCCTGCGTTCAGTCGCCGTCAACGCAGCCCGAAGAATAGGGAGTATTGCTACAACCCTCACTTGACCCTGCGTTCAGTCCAGTCCAGTCTCCACAAATAGTCAAGGCTTATTGTTTGGCTTACTAAGACTCAATTCAACCGAGGTTGCGCGCCTTTTCTTCCTCCCAATCACACTTGACTTACCAGCCATCAACAGAAGACTGAATCCGATTGTGTGAAATGCGTCTCCTTTTATACCTTTTTGGCTGGACAACGATTGTTGTTTTCTCATGACAGCAGCTGATCCCAATCTGACAGTTTTTCGTAGTTCCGCCATTTGCCACCAGGGGTTCCAATGTTGTATTTTAAGTATACTTCTTTCTACTAGGGGACCTGTGTGACCGTTAATATTCAAATACATTTAAATTACATGACCCTGAGTAGCTATTAGTTTAATTCATAACTTAAATATTTTAATGCATTTTCAAACAAAAAAAATATAATTCATAGTTGATGTATATAACATAAGTAAGTAAAAATGGTATTTAAAATAATAATGTACCCCAAAAACGAAAGCATGACTTTTGGGCGTTACATGGCATCTCTTCCTCCCTCTGATTTTTGATTCCTTGATTTGCTGTCTCTATTGCTATTGGGTTTCAATAGCCAGGAAGCCCTAGGGTGTTATGTAACCTTTTATTTCTCCGACATGGGCACTTTGGTTCGACTATATCTCGGTCGAATAGGAAGGTATGTTAGAGACCAATTGCAGAAGTTCGGAGAGATACCTTCACTACCCCGTCTGCTGATATTATTATGCGGTACTAGGACCTTCGTCTAAAAATATTGTCCTTCGCCTTTGAGCCTCGACTTGTTCCAGATGAGCTCGAAATTTCTCCTTCGCCCGTTTGAATTTTTTCGTGTTGGGGCTATCTTGCTCCATCGTGATGTTGAAATTTTGAGAATTGCGATGGTCTTTGCAGTATGGGCTTATATTAGGACACTGATTAGTTTGGGTATTGTCAATTTAATGTCTAAAAATAAAATAAGAAATTATAATGAAATGGCATCACATAAACGTAAGTGGAACTACAATCAACATTCTACTTCTATGTCTACAATTTAATTTTGTTCTTCATAAAAAGGCTTAATTTCACTTAAGTGCGCGACGCGGGTGATGTTGCCTTTTCCTCGGACTACAACGATTACTGGAGATTGGAATTTTTGTACGACAAACGGCCCTCCGTATTTGGGCGCTAGTTTGGCGGCGAAATTTTCGACGGCCTTCGACTGAGGATGTAGACGAACTAGAACTTGCTCCCCAATCTTTGGTTTCCAAACTCGTCGTCTAAGGTTGTACTGTCTCCGCTGGTTTTGAGATGCTTTTGCCAAGTTTCGACGCACTATCTTAAATATTTCTTTCAACTCCTGGGCACGGTCTTCTGGTAAGACTATTCTAGCACCAGTTCCTGTTGTGAGCTGATCATATAATGCCTGGGGCAGTCGCGGTTCTCTTCCTTGTGTCAGGTATGCCGGCGAATATCCAGTGGATTCTGATGCACTAGTGTTTATGGCTAACATTATTTCGGGCAGCATATCGTCCCATGTATTATGTTGTTTCGAAACTTGTGCTATCATTGTTTTCACTGTCCGATTTGTCCTTTCAGTAGGGTTCTCTTGCGGGGTGTAAGGAGCCGTAAGTTGATGCTTTATACCCATTTCTGCTAGGAATTTTTCGAATTGGTTGCTAGTGAATTGGGTTCCGTTATCGGTTATCAATATTTTTGGAACCCCATATCTAGAAATAATTCTTTCTCTGCATGCCTTTATTAATCCCTCTGTCGTAGCCTTCCGCAATGGAACCAACTCCGTCCATTTTGAGAATCTATCCATAATAACGAGTAGCATTGAGTTACCGTGCTTAGATCGCGGTAGGGGTCCTACGAAGTCCGCACAAATAGTGGCCCATGGTTCCTCCGGGATTCTTATCAACATTTCCCCTGCTGGTTTCTGTTGGCTGACCTTATATTTTTGGCAACATTCGCACTGCTGGACATAACGTTTGATGTCCTGGAACATACCAGGCCAAAAATATCGGTTCGCCACCTTGTTGCTAGTCTTTCGCACTCCCAAATGACCTCCGGTGACACTGTCATGATTTTCTCTAAGGACCTGAATCCTTGATCCGGTGGGCACACACAGCTTCCATGGTGTGCAATCTTCATCGTTTATTTGCTTGGGAAAATGTCGATAAACATTTCCCTCAATGATTGTATAGTCTGGATACTTCTTCGGATTCTTGGTTATGGTTTCCTTCAACTTTTCTAGCCATGGGCACGGACTGGTGTCATATTTTACTGTGGCTAGGTCTAACGTTTCCAAAGGTGTTCTCGAAAGCGCATCCGCCACAACGTTCTGTTTTCCTCTACGGTATCTGATCAAAAAATTATATTGCTGTAGCTCGAGAGCCCAACGTGCGAGTCGACCTGTAGGGCTTTCAATAGAATTTAACCATTTTAGGGCCAAATGATCGGTAATAACTATAAACTGGTAACCCTCTAAATAGGGTCTCATGTGTCTGATGCCCCACAGTATGGCTAGACATTCCTTTTCAGTCGCTGAGTAGTTCTTTTCAGCCTGTTTTAAATGTCTGCTGGCGTAGGCTATGACACGTTCCACGTTATCTAACTCCTGTGTTAGAACTGCTCCAAGGCCATAGTTGCTGGCATCAGTTTGCAATATGAACGTCTTTGTGAAATCCGGACAAGCCAGAACGGGGGCTTCAGTTAACTTTGCTTTTAGGTCTGAGAATGCTTCTTGTTGTTCGGGACCCCATTTCCAATGTTTTCCCTTTTTAAGAAGACTAGTCAATGGTTGTGAAATTGTTGCAAACTGTGGGACAAATCTTCGGTACCAAGATGCTACTCCAAGAAATCTTCGTACCTCCTTTACCGATGTTGGAGGTTTCATTTCCACTATTGCGGCAACTTTATCTGGATCCGTCTTTATTCCCTCGCTACTCACAACATGGCCTAAATACTTCGTTTCTTTTCTGAAAAATTCGCATTTCTCAATGTTTATTCTCAGGTTAGCTGATCGCAATCTTCTGAACACTTCTCTCAAGTTCCGCAAGTGTTCCTCAAACGTTTTTCCAATGACGATGATATCGTCAAGGTATGCAAAAGCGTGGGGGTCCATTTCAGGCCCAATCACACTATCTAATGCCCGTTGGAAGGTTGCCGGTGCTGAATGCAAACCGAAAGGCATCACTTTCCACTGATATAGACCTTTACCAGCTACCGCAAAGGCCGTGTATTTTCTGCTCTCCTTCGCCATAGGTATTTGCCAATATCCGTCTTTAAGGTCCAGGCTACTCACGTATTTGGCATCCCGTAGTCGATTCAGTATTGTGTCGATGCGGGGTAAAGGGTAGGCATCTGGAACAGAACGTTTATTCAATTGGCGAAAATCCATACAAGTTCTCCAATTCCCATTTTTCTTTCTGACTAATGTGATGGGGAAACAGTATGGGCTTGTAGACGGCTCTATACATCCTCGTTCTTCGAGCTTTCTCACTTCGGCATTAATCACGGCTTGCATTGCAGGATTTCGCGGAGCATATCTTAATTTAATGGGTCGATCGTCGGTCATTACAATCTTATGTTCAGCTATTGACGATAGGCCATTTAATTGTTGGAACTTAGGGAGTTCCTGTGCCAGAAAATTTTCAACGATCTCACATTGCGTTTTACTCAATTCATCGTTTAAGAATTTAGGTCTGGGGGATACATTATTCGTAGCTGTCATTGTATCTATTACCTCTTTTGATGGGGTTTCCTCTCCTATAGCCACGGTACAATGCTCCGTTGATGTGGTTGGCTTACTTAATTTGACACTTATACCGGCGCAGTGAATGGTCGTGTGGAACTGTTTTAGAAATTCCAATCCCAATATGATGTTTTCCTTGAATTGCGGCATGATGAGAAATGTAACATCTGAGCTTTGGTTTCCAAATGTAACAGGTAACACTGTTGATCTTGTGATGTTCACCGTGGTGCCGTCTGCGAGGATAACATTTGCCTCATGCCGTGAATAAGTAAACCTTTTCTTGATTTTTTCCGCAAATTCTCTTTTTATAAAACAGCTAGTGGCACCCGTGTCGACAGTTGCTTTAATAGCTTTCCCCTCTATTAAGACAGTTGCAGTAAGGCGATATTCTTCACATTGCAATGAGGTAATATTCTGGTTACTCTTCTTTGCCGGGGGTTCATCCTGCTGCGTTTCTGGATTGGATGAGCTTTCGTTTAGCACTTGGTCACCTTGATTGGTGCAATACAGGTTATTTCTAGAGTTGTCCGCACGTCGATTATAGTTTTGTTGATTTCGAGGCTGTTCTGACCGAGAATTATTTGGTATGCTTTCGAGTTCGTCTGCCAAGGAGATCAATTCCGAAAGTGTGGTAAAGTCTTTACGGCGAATGTACCATTGATAATCCGAATGCGCGTTTCTAAAAATTCGTTCCAATTTTTGTTCTTCGGTCATATTGGTGTGCTGCATAAGATGCTGTATAGAGAGTACATATTCCTTAAACGGCTCCTTATTACGCTGTATCCTTCTCCTAATTTCATCCTCCAATTTCTCAAAGTATCTCGGTGGCAAAAAGAATTTCAGAAAATCACTCTTAAATTCGTTCCAGGTAGTCCAGTGTCGGTTGTTGTTCCTTAGCCAGATTAAAGCTTTACCTCGTAACAACTCTGGCATTACTTTAATTATTTGATTCAATTCCACGATGTACATTTCAGCCATTTCTTCTACACGTTCTACGAATCCAATAGGGTCCATTCCATTTTCAAAAGTAATATTCCATTTTCGGATTTGGTCGAGAATTACGAGTAACGACGAATTATTGGATGGCTTGGGCGGAGAATCTTTTTGAAATCCATATTCGGGGTTTGTTGGCGACATCTTCTGTACTTTTTGATCGTTTGTTACCCCTGTGCTTGACTCTCCATGTGACCTTTCCGCGGAAATGTGGGGAAGGGCGTACTCTGTTTTTATTGGGGATAATACTATTGCTTCTGCTCCACACGGTGTTACGGTTATAAGGGGTTGTTTTGTGACGGCTCGCAATGTCGGCGATTTGGTCGGACTGGTACTTTCATGTTTGTTCTGCAACTCTATAAGCCGTCTGTATACATCGGCTTCATGGTCGTTGTGGAGAAATTTAGCCCATCTTTTTCGGAGATCGTCCACTTTTCCAACTGGATCAAGATTGAATTCAGTAAGATATGTTACCAAGTCTTCTTGCTTTAGCATATAGGCCCAGGAGACCTTCAACATTGTCTTTTCGTTTGACATTTTTTTTTTTTTTTTTTTTTTTTTTTTTTTTTATTATTTTTACTTGTTTCAGTTTTTTTTTTTTTTTTTAACTGTTTTTTTTTTCACTGGGTTTTCATCTGTATTTGTCTAATTATTGTTCACTCATTTATTTATTCTTTCTCTCTTTTATAGTCCCTGCTCGGGCGCCATTGTGACGACGTGTTTTCACTTTGAAGCTGGGGTAGGTTCAGCGGGGGCCAGAGTCGTCACAAAAATTTATTTGTTAGGACATAAAGAGAGAGAGAGAGCGAAGCAAAAATATTTTCTTAAAACGTTATAAATTTATTTCCTTAAATAACACTAAACACTACACTAAACACAATAAAATCACGTTCAGAACGTTTTACGAAGAACACTAAATCACAAAGTTCAGTCGAAATGTTAATAAACGGGTAGCAGTGGTGGCAGCTTGGCACAGCGGCGGCCCGATGAATAGGCGAGCGACGAATAGAGTGGCGGCAGCTTGGCACAGCGGCGGCCCGATGAATAGGCGAGCGACGAATAGTAGTGGCGGCAGCTTGGCACAGCGGCGGCCCGATGAATAGGCGAGCGACGAATAGGGTGGCGGCGGCTTTGGCACAGCGGCGGCCCGATGAATAGGCGAGCGACGAATAGTAGTGGCGGCAGCTTGGCACAGCGGCGGCCCGATGAATAGGCGAGCGACGAATAGGGTGGCGGCGGCTTTGGCACAGCGGCGGCCCGATGAATACGTCAGCGGCGAGTAGGGTGGCGGCGGCTTTGGCACAGCGGCGGCCCGATGGATAGGCGAGCGGCGAATAGGGTGGCGGCGGCTTTGGCACAGCGGCGGCCCGATGAATACGTCAGCGGCGAGTAGGGTGGCGGCGGCTTTGGCACAGCGGCGGCCCGATGGATAGGCGAGCGGCGAATAGGGTGGCGGCGGCTTTGGCACAGCGGCGGCCCGATGAATACGTCAGCGGCGAGTAGGGTGGCGGCGGCTTTGGCACAGCGGCGGCCCGATGAATACGTCAGCGGCGAGTAGTAGTGGCGGCAGCTTGGCACAGCGGCGGCCTGATGAATACGCGCACGACGAATCGGGTGGCGGCAGCTTTGGCACAGCAGCAGCCCGATGAGTACGTCAGTCGCCGTCAACGCAGCCCGAAGAATAGGGAGTATTGCTACAACCCTCACTTGACCCTGCGTTCAGTCGCCGTCAACGCAGCCCGAAGAATAGGGAGTATTGCTACAACCCTCACTTGACCCTGCGTTCAGTCGCCGTCAACGCAGCCCGAAGAATAGGGAGTATTGCTACAACCCTCACTTGACCCTGCGTTCAGTCGCCGTCAACGCAGCCCGAAGAATAGGGAGTATTGCTACAACCCTCACTTGACCCTGCGTTCAGTCGCCGTCAACGCAGCCCGAAGAATAGGGAGTATTGCTACAACCCTCACTTGACCCTGCGTTCAGTCGCCGTCAACGCAGCCCGAAGAATAGGGAGTATTGCTACAACCCTCACTTGACCCTGCGTTCAGTCCAGTCCAGTCTCCACAAATAGTCAAGGCTTATTGTTTGGCTTACTAAGACTCAATTCAACCGAGGTTGCGCGCCTTTTCTTCCTCCCAATCACACTTGACTTACCAGCCATCAACAGAAGACTGAATCCGATTGTGTGAAATGCGTCTCCTTTTATACCTTTTTGGCTGGACAACGATTGTTGTTTTCTCATGACAGCAGCTGATCCCAATCTGACAGTTTTTCGTAGTTCCGCCATTTGCCACCAGGGGTTCCAATGTTGTATTTTAAGTATACTTCTTTCTACTAGGGGACCTGTGTGACCGTTAATATTCAAATACATTTAAATTACATGACCCTGAGTAGCTATTAGTTTAATTCATAACTTAAATATTTTAATGCATTTTCAAACAAAAAAAATATAATTCATAGTTGATGTATATAACATAAGTAAGTAAAAATGGTATTTAAAATAATAATGTACCCCAAAAACGAAAGCATGACTTTTGGGCGTTACAATGGTGGAAGGTATAAAAAATCCAAAAGGTTATATTTCAGTCGGCTTCATTCGCTTCCAGCCCTTTGAACGTGTTCTCGATTAGATGAAGCATGGCGTTAAATTTAACGACATTCTCCAACAAAATTCCCACAACACACACATCATTGAACATGACGGTATTGACTTTATGCTCAGCCAGCTGTTGGAACAGACATAATTACCGTATCAGCGTTTCGATCTGTCAGTGGAGAGAAGAAAGGGCTTTGATTGGTCATTTAGATACGTGATAACTAAATAGTCATGAACATCAGAGAAAATGTGTCGTCTGTATGTGTGCCTCAGTGTTCTATTATTATGTGTGTAAAATTATTTTATTTGGGTCAAAATAGTTTCAGGGCAAAGTCAATTATTTTGGATAATGTTTAAAGAACATAACTATAATTCAAAGCCTGCTAATTTTTTCCAAATTTATTTTAATCTTCACAAATTTCTTCAAAACTATTTCTCACGCATTTTCGATTAAGTTTTGTTAAAATTAGTTACAACTAATTAGTTTAAGTCAAGTCAGTAGAAAATTACTTTTTTATTCAGGTATATTCTTTCAAATCAGAACAAATTCTCTAGAAGTTGCTTCGGGAAAAATCACGTTGGAAAAAAATTAGAATTAGAAAAAGAGAGGAACCATTAAATTATGCTGTTCAGACACATGGGTGCCTTGTCTGGTGGCATGCGAACGAGTCTAGGTCGCTTATGTTCAAATTAACCACCATGCAAAGAGTCGCGTTGTCAGCGTTGAATGTAATGCTAAACATCCAACCATTGGATCTATTGTATACATTTAGAGGAACAATGGTGAGCTGAGACTATGGGAAGCGGAAAGATGAACAATTCCGTGTTTTTGTCGGACACGTATCCTAGACATACCTACAAGTCGGAATATTTTAGTTGAAGGTAATAAAATTATCATATGTCAAATCGTATGTCCACTTCTTTCGACGTCCACTTCATTGGCGTAACGATACCCGATAAAGGCGCTTGGGCTGTTGGTTAACCTCCTGGATGGTCTGCTCATAGACATAGATGGTTCCAACATAGAAGAAGGCAGCTGAAAGGGTAAGAGAACTTTTTTATAGCATAATAGGACCAGCAACTGCATATCGGGATAGTCTGGCTTCAATCAAAGCCATCAAGCCAAATGTCATCAATTCGAGAGCTATTCTTGAAGTTTGTGAACTCATTTCTCCCCGGACAGCAATATAGTGTGGAATAAAGGTGGATCTCGGTCGATTTATTTATCGATTGAAGATACCATCAAACAAATTATTAGCTGTTATAACAGCCGATTCCACAAGGCTCTTATCGATGAAGCTGGCACCTGGAAATCATTTAAAAGGTATCTAGGGTCATTTGGGCGGCAGTCTCCAAGAAAATAACCTGTTCCCTTCCTTTAATTAGTAGGTCCGATCTAAGAATCCTGGTAGGCATATTGAATGGTCACTGCAGTATCACATATCAGACCTATTGATGGGATAACGGTGGTCAAAACTTATGAGTTAAGAGCACTCCAGCATTTAAATGTGAATAAATCGTTTGTGGGTCGTACCATCGCTCGTTATCGTGATACTGGTAGCGTAGACCGAAAAGTAACGAAGCGACTTGATCGAAACACGCAAATATTGAAGAATAAGTTCGGGGTTCCAAAAAGTGCAAGAACTTACACCGCAGCAGAAAAAAATAGACTCAAAAAAGCTAAAGAGTTGCTTCGCTTGGCCGAAAGTGGTGAACTGCCGAATTAGGTTTTCTCCGCTCCGATGAGGAAATATTCGTTGTCAAGTAGTTTGTAAACACAAACGAAGTGATCGTGTTTACTTGCCAAAGAGGTCAGCTGAAAATGTGCACCTTCGGTTGGCCACCAGAACACAAGCGCCGCCCATGATGATGGTGTGGCCGCCATAACAGCCGATCAGAATAAATGCCGAATATTATCGCGAACATATTCTGGAGAGTGTGTTGAAGCCTTGGGCACCCAAACATTTTGGCCGCAGACCTTGGACATTCCAACAGGACTAAGCACCATTGCACTCAGAAATGAGGTTCCTCGCTTCATTTCCAGCGCACAATGTTCACCAAAATCTCCGAATACCAATCCGTTGGGCTATTGTGTCTGGAGTATTTTGGAAAGCAAGGTTGACACTAAATAATACCAAAGTGTCGATCACCTTAAACAAGCGCTTCGCCGGAAATGAGCCAAAATACCGCAGAGCAACATTCGAGCAGCGTGTAATGGTTTCACTGGTCGTTTGAAGGTGACCAATTCAAACAAATCTAAACTTATTCTAAAATTTGATGCTATTTCCGAAATTTTTTGCTTTAAATTCAATAAAATTAAAAAAAAAATGGAAAAATTATCGCGTTTGACTTTGTTGCAGATTTTTTCTCACCCTGTATTATTTAAATTCAGAACGTTTAGGGCAACATATGAAATTTTAAAACGACTCTATATTTTCTTACAGATTTCTAGTCATTGAGAAGTACTGCTGTCGTATTTTGAAGGATATTTATGGCTTTGAAACCATTTTCCTTCAATACAGATTTCTATATTTACATAGCAACAAGATTTATAGACTATTATTTTCATATATATGTATTTGCATTTTTTTCTTTACAAAGTTAACGACTTGAAATACGACACCACTTTTCCTTTTCAATATTTCATATTTATAAATCACAAATGTTTTTTTTCTTTCATTTTCTACCATTGATGCATATCGTATTTTATTTGCAGGGTCTTTTTCCATTTAATGATTTTCTTATTGTGGGACGAATGCTTTGGAAATATTGCAAATGTCATAGTTTAATAAATATTTTAATTAGAAAAGTACTTATTTGCCATTAAATGTGATTCGAAATGTTAAATGTCACGAGAGCAGGGGCGTTGCACGTGGTGGGGTCCGATGAATATGAGGAAGGGACACTACTTAAAGGCATATGTTTTGATTTTCCTCAGTGGTAAAATACCAAATCAACTTTGAATTCTGACGTTTTAGCTAATTAAAGGAGGTTATTAAGGTTTTTTTATTTCTATAGAAGAAATCTACGTCAATTTTAATTATATTTTCTGCCAAGTTGCACATTAATAATATTATGAGTTAAAACACAATCTCACAAACCAACGAACATCTATACATATGTGTACAAACACACTCACACATACATAAATGTGTTTATTATAAAATTTATATGCATATTTTAATTTTCCAGAACCAGGAGTACAGAAAACATCAGCAGTGTTCATTGGACACAGATTCGGTTTAAAAAGTCATTTCGAATGAAAACAAACAGAAAAAAAAGAGAAAGAAATCAATTTCGTTTGCTACTCTCACAATTACACTTCATTCGTACACCATACGTGTGTGTTGCTTTCATGCATACACATGGCTATATATATGTTGCGTTCATACACATGGGAATTAAAATTGAAGGTAATGGTTTCCCTGAACTACTGCAGAGCTCCTTATGATAGCAGACGTATATGTGACCAAGCAGACTGGGGACAATAATCAGGGGAAATTGATAACTAATTGTAAATCTAAGTGCAGAAGCCTTGAACTTTGTTGAATTCGGGGCTGCGGATTCTAGCTTTTTTGCTCAGACTTCGGCTCGTTGGCCATTTTCTGAAGGACTGCCATCACGGACTCTGTTGTTTGCTCCGAACCCAAAATCAAATTTTTATTTTTTATTTTTATACCCTTGATCATACTCGTTGTAGCTCTTCCAACTGGCCATTTCATACTTCACACAACATAAACATATATTTTTTATTAGCATAAATTTCTCAGGTGATTTTGTCATGTCTTTCTGCTATGTTGGATGATTTTACCCACATTTTTCAATGGAATTGTCTGAAATTCTACACAAGGAGTTCTTTGTGACTACTTTATCCCCTGAAAGAGAATTATCTATATCGGTACAGGATATCGTATAGCCCCCATATAACTGTATCCCTGATATTCGGTATTTTAATTATTTCAGACAAAATTTTTAATGGAATTGTCTGAAAATCCATACAAGGAGTTCCTTGTGAGTACTTTATCCCCTTGAAGAGAATTATCTAAATAGTTTCGTGTTTGAGTATAGCGCCCATATAACGGTACCCCCAGATAGTCGGCATTTTCATAATTTTTGCAGCATATTCACTGGCGTTGTTTCAAATTTAATATATAAAGTTCGCAACACTTACTACAGCCTATGACAAAATTACTTATCCAGGATCAGGTCTTCATATAGCCCCCATATAAGGGTTCTCATTTGAGCGGTATTTTCGACGATATTTATTGGAAATCGTATAAGTTTGTTCCAAATGGTGGAGGGAATAAAAACTCGGCCCGGCTGCAACTTAGCTGCTTTTTTTACTTGTTAAAGGTACTCTAGCAAAGAAATGGCCCATATTATTTCTGCCTCCGGTATGGCAAATTTAATATACCGTCCATTGTATGGTGGAAGATATAAAAATTCACATCAAATCTTGTGTTAGTAGAAATATTGGAATGTTATTAACATTTTTGACACCTTTGTGGAGGAGGTACCAGAAGAATTGGGCTGATATATTTCAGCTTCACGCCAGATCTTTCGTTAGTAAAAATGTTGAGATGTGTAAAATTTAAAAAGAATCGAAGAATTTTTAAAATATTGGCCCCTTTGTGGGGGAAGTAGCAGAAGGAGGGAGCCGATATCCCATCTTTACAACAGATGTTGCGTTAATAAAAATATTGGGATATGTCAAATTTGAAGAGGATTCGGTGTTTATTTCACATATTATGAGAGATATAAATATTCCCCGTTGTGGAAAAGACGCCTGAAGAAGTAAACCGATATATCCCATCTTCACACCAGATTTTACGTCAATAAAAATATTTGGATGTGTAAAATTTGGAGATAATCGGCTGCTTATTTCAAATTTTATAACATATATAATAATTTATAATTTTGACCGGTTGTGAGTTCTAATTATT